TTGGCCTTGGTTGGACCCACGACGTTTACCTTTCCACGAATTACCACCATGTTTACCCACGATATACTCACATCTGGCCTTGTAGCTCAGTCAGCAAGGTAAAGGTCGTTGATTCTCAGCAATCCAAATCACTTTAGAGTTAATTCTCTACTTCCCAGCTTCTAATATCAGCGCTGCCAAGCGTTTTAAATCCATTGTAACGGTTACTGAGTAGGACACACTGACATTTGCGTAAAAATGTCATTAACATGTGAATCCATTTGACTCGTGACAGTTTTAACCTGCACTTCAAAGACGACTTGGCGTGGCAACTGCTGGTGCCATTTATAACAACTGGATGTCTTCTGCTGGTTCTTCATGGCTGGACACAACTAGATACAGATATACTGCCAACAATAATGACCAAGAGAAAGAGATAGCAATCAACATCAAACAAACAAACATGGATGAACACAACTGAGTGCGGATATCTCTTCCTGCCAACAATAATGACAAGAGATAGAGTTAGCACTTAACATCAAACAAACAAACATGGATGAACACAACTGAGTGCAGATATCCTGCCAACAGTAATGACAAGAGAAAGTTAGCACTCAACATCAAACAAACAAACATGGGTGAACACAACTGAGTGCAGATATCCTGCCAACAATAATGACCAAGAGAAAGAGATAGCACTCAACATCAAACAAACAAACATGGATGAACACAACTGAGTGCAGATATCCTGCCAACAATAATGACAAGAGAAAGACATAGCACTTAACATCAAACAAACAAACATGTATGAACACAACTGAGTGCTGATATCCCTTCCTGCCAATAATAATGACCAAGAGAAAGACATAGCACTCAACATCAAACAAACAAACGTGGATGAACACAACTGAGTGCAGATATCCTGCCAACAATAATGACAAGAGAAAGACATAGCACTTAACATCAAACAAACAAACATGTATGAACACAACTGAGTGCTGATATCCCTTCCTGCCAATAATAATGACCAAGAGAAAGACATAGCACTCAACATCAAACAAACAAACGTGGATGAACACAACTGAGTGCAGATATCCTGCCAACAATAATGACAAGAGAAAGAGTTCGCCAGCTCTGATTACGCGATTATCAGTTGTTTCCTGCGTTTCGAGTCCAATTTTACAATAACAACTTTTCCAAGCTGAAAATGATGACGAGGGGGACACAGGTAGTCAAAACTACGTAAGGGGCTAAACGGCCGGTTACCTATGAAGGAGGACGAATGTGAATTGAAGGTCGTAAACGAGGACTACTTAACTTGGAGAAGATTTTTAATAACAGCGAACCAGTAATTGCCCGGGATAATAATGGCGTGATGCCATTTCTGTCGCAAGCAGGAACGACATTGAGATAACTGACAGTGTACAAGGGCAGCACACGATAAAGATCAAGAACAAAGGAGATCAAGCCTCGATTACCAAAGCTATTGACCATGTTTCGCGTTTTCTCTTTTCATTGCCTACTCGTTTACATCTTTTACTGGAATCATTATCTGAATGCCGCGTAGATTAACATGTCGTGATAGCTGCCTGACTGATAATTGAAACAAAAGGTGAAAAAGAGATGCACCGTAATTTGTATTCAATTGATCCATTTCAGAAGTTGTCTTGTTAGAAATTATTTATTCATTTATTTAAACAAGAGAAAAATAAAACAGCTGAATTTGGATCAAGGAATGAGTTTCACAACTCTTTAATTTCACCACAAACGGCAGAAGTGCATCCATTCCTATTTTCGGTCTGTATAGTTTGTTAGTTTGATCGATTGAGTCTTTAATTGTTTGTTTGTTTGTTTGCCGTAATTAATTCTTGTTAAGCTCTCTCTACCAAGTCTCCATTTAGAACTTCCAGGCTCAAACTATACCCTTTTATTCTGAAATGAACAGCTGCGTTCAACCCCGGAGGGGGGAGCACTTTGGGAATTTCTGGGTGGGGATGTGCCGCTGGGACTCTGGAACCCTTAGCCCATACCAGAGCTAGATCAGCTAAATTTTGCTACCCTATACTAGAGTAAACTCCTCAAGTCGCCCCCATCTATCGACACTGTTGAGGCTGATTTGCGTAAATTTAAACTTGCCGATTTGATTTTTTTTGGGGGTAAGGGGAAGGGGACTCCCATGTAGAACCCCTATGAGTTACCAAGCTCCTGTTTTCTGGCCGTTGCTTGAAATTGTTTTTCACCCCCCAAGAGGTACCAATTGTAAAAAAACACATTAATTAACACTTACATAATTTTTAATAGCGATAAAGACGATTGCTTCAAACTTTCTACTCATAAAATTTATTGTCAAATATCCCCTGTCATATTTTTTTTCGGTGCAATACCCTAGAAGGTACTGCAAAAGCTCCTGCTGTGGGCCTTTGAGGCTAAACACCTTAAGGGGCATCAAAACCGTTTTTCCCCCTAAAAGGAACAACTAACATTCCCGTCCTTTTTATATAGGAGTTCCCCTGGGATGTTAGGCTGGAGTGTTTTGAGTTTATAGAGAAAGTTCTGGCGGTCCAAAGGGCCACCAAGCAGAGTCTCATACTCAGACCAGAGCAGAGGCCCAGTTTCTTATGGCTATCATGGCTAGCGCTATTGCTCACGGGCGCATATGCACGACAATGATGGCGACAGCAACAACGGAGTCTCGCAAAATGGCTGCCATACTCCAGCTAATAGGTTGACAGAGACATGCAGCTTTGGTTTAAAGCATCCTTCTTTGATATGGGACATCTATGTTATGGTCAATTGACACCTGCCAAAACAAGGTACCTACTGACCAGTATCAAACGACCATATCGGAGGCTCGGGTTTAGAGCTCACCGAGATCACATGTTTTTTTAAGTTGTCTCCGTCCAAGTGCTGGTTTTTTTTATTGGATCGCAGGCTCATGTCAGGTTAACTAGTTGTAAACAGGACTGGGTTATTCGGAAGGCGGCTACCGCTAACTTAGGACTAAAAGTTAACCGAAGCATAGATTTTTCTTGGAGGCAATGTTTTTCATTGCTTTTGTTTTGTGTAATTTAAGATTACTCAAACTCAAAACAGAAAACCAAACAAATATACAGAAAACTTCAATGCATAGTTAAAAAACTCAAATCAAAATGCTTGCTCATCCTGGGTTAGCTTAATCGGGCTTTGAACAACCCAGCCCAGGAGCTCTGCTTTTAGGCTTGGCTAAATCTATATAGAGACACATGGCAGATGGCTTCTCTGAGATGTTAGAGTGATTTAAATATGAAAACAAACTTGGTAATCAAGTGATTAAACAATGCCATTATTGAACTTTGTTATCGCAAAATAGTGTGATTTGTCAGTACCTCACAGATAGTTAAAAACATAAACATGAAAAAATTCGCGTGGAGGAAGTGCTGGGAGATGTTTCTTGAAGCCATTTTTTCTCATTCGAGAGGTTTCATTATCATTTTATGTGATATCATTGGCTTAGAAAATTTCCTATTGTCTTTCAGCCAATTATAATCCAGAATTACAATGTGTAATTTGCACTGGAGTTACACTTTTTGCACTGGTGTCACACTTTATGCACTGGTGTTACTCTTGAATTGCACTGCTCTCAGCCAATCAGAATCAAGTAATTTTTTCATCTATATTATTAACAATGTTAAAGTATGCCAACAGCAAGAGATCATAAGTAACTCGACAATACGTTTGTATCTCTCATCAGGATAAACAAGAAACACATAAAGAAGTGAAATACATCAGACATGGCAGGTTAGTCAGCGTTTTTCTGTATAGTCACTTTGAGGGACAGGTGCAGTGTACCATTGTAGGATGGAATTCAATCTTGAGAAATCCAGCAGATTGCGTTTTTGACAGGATTGCTACAACGTTGAATGACAGTCGTTGGTGTCAAGATTATTTGGGAACATCCGTGCCCTTTTTGATTGGACAAAAAGACTTTTAAGTTTGTTTTTGTTGTTATTTTGCAAGGATTTGTCAACTTAAAGTGGTGCTTCTTCTCCTTACAGCAAAGTCCTAGTTTCTCAGGTTATAATATATTGGCCTTCATAAACTGAACAGAGCCTGCATGGCAAGCGTTCTGGAGCTAGAGCAAATAAATTTTATTAAGCAGAGGGTGGTGGGACGAGCGAAGTGACGCTTGCCCACAAAGCTCACAATTCTGAAAAAAATGCTCACTGAATTTTATGGATGAGTTCATTTATTGATTGATTTACAACTTGTCACCAATCGCTACCGTTATATTTTTTGGAAAACTTCAGAATGGCACTAATTTCAAATTGATTTAAACTGAAAATACACCAAGTGTTCGGGAAAAAAAGAAGTACTTTCTGTTTAATGTTGGCAAGTTTGACTGCAAGCTTTTCTAGTTGCATAATCAGTACATTATCAAGCAAACAGGTGATGAGTATAAAGATAATCATCAATAAGGGAATGTATATGAGAAAGGATGAAGAAAGCTTCACGTAGATGCAAAGACAGTGCGAAAAACGATACAAAGACTTTTTTTGTTTTTTTTCTTTCAGGATTTCTCAGTGACCAGACGATTGAGGGGAGATAAAGGCAAAGACAAGATACTGGAGGCAATATTAAGAAGACAGGACACTTAGGACAAGACATAGTATGCAAGGGACAAAAGTAGGAGGTGTTAAATAGGATATATTTTTTTGTGTGGACTAAACGTTAGGATCGGCGATGTTCTCCTTGCAATCAAATAGGACACAAAGGTTATCATTAAAAAAGTGAACTGGCCCAAAAAAATGATTTACAGTTAGGTTTTGTAGGAGATGTGTCATCAGCTTTGCTTTACAAATTTTAATTTTTCTTTTGTTTCTGTTCATGATGCGAGAGCTTGGTGGATTGTGTGACTGACGTACGTGACTCTTGAGCATCAGCAATGTGGCGTTACATTTGCGGCCGTTGAGAATATGTTAATAAACCATTGTTCGGGAATTTGAATACACAGCATTGCAACAGGAGATTTAACTGTGAATTTAGTAAATAAAGATTGTGAAGTGCCTTTTGATATTCTGTTGGCTTGTTTAGACGAACGGCAAGGCAGCAGGGTAGCAAAAGAAACTTTATATTATTTATTTTCTGAGTTAGCAGTTAAAATACGGCAGCATTTTCTGGCGTTGAATAATTCCCGTGAAAAACTTTATTAACTTATTCTCAACGGTCGTTAGTGTAACGCAGCACCACTGTTGTTCAATAGTCACGTACGTTTCTATCGTATCTTCACCGAGTTCTCGTTTTGTGAGCTTCGAAAGTCTTTTATTTTCCTTGAAAAGCAAATCTTTGTAGTTAACCTTCGTGTTTAGAATCACAACTTTTCGCTAATTTTCTCTCATCGATCAATTTCTGAATGGATTGCCTTGTTTGTCCAAAATCTCTCATTCAACAGCGATTGTAAATTGTTTCCTTGAAACCAGAATTTATAAAAAATGTCGCTGCTATTTCAAGCGTATTACGTCCAGTTAGTTTTGTACAAAAACAATTTCTCTTGGTTATTAAATGTTTTGCAAAAATTGTGTTGACTGCCTAAATTTACTCATAGGTAACCCTTGTCAACATTTTTAATTTTCCCGCCAAAAAACTTAGAAAAAATACGGGCGCCCAAAAATACGCATGCGCCGTTTTTTTTAAAAATTTTTTTCTTGTGATAACATTTTTAATTACTTTCTGTTGTTCTCAACTGTTATTCAATAAAGTATTATTTCATCCACTCAATAAAAGTAATAAAGACGACGTTCAAATTTGTTTTGTTTTCTTTTGTTTCTTTTATTGACATCAAAATAACTTAAATTAAATAATGGCAAATCAATAACTCACACGTATTGTTAAATGATTTAATTGAAATTCAATTAAATTAATTAAAAAGGTGTGATCAAAATTTTGCCCTATATATACTAAGACTTTTGGCGGGAAAATTGGAAAAAATTTGCACAGCGTTTCCCCTGACAACTCTTTGACAAAAATTTTAACAGGGTACCCCCTATAAATTTTCCCGCCAAAAAAACTCAACATATACCATCTTGAACACAGCCTAACGAAAACTAAGATTTTGAATCCAGTAAACATCTGTTTGTGTTCAAGATAGTATATTCCATGATGATATCTTGTTAAATAGTCAACCGTAAAACGACGAGCAGCTGGAAACCTGTTAACAGAGATGAGAAGAGTAAGTTAAAATTTCTACAACTGCAACGTTTCCAAACAACATTAGGAAGGTGAAAACATTTCTAAATCGGAGTATTTAAGAACGTTTATATAGCCGGGTAACTTGCACTCCAGGTACATAAACTCTCTTAACTACTGCGATTCTAAAATGTCGCCACCTTAATGTTGTGTAGAAACGTTGTAGTTGTAGATATTTTAAATGGCTCGTCTCATTTCTGAATATAGATTTCTAGCTGCCCGTCATTCACAGCTTAACTATCTAACGTGATATCATCATGCAATTATTTCAAGAAGATAGCAAAGGTAAGCCATGAACCCGATTATTCCTACGAAAAAATAAAGAAAACGCGAAAACTTCAATCTAGTCTTAGCGTTTGAACGATTATAGAGCTTCCGTCACTTTAGCCGAGATGAAAAAGCAAAACCCGACAACTTATAGGCCAATTTTTAAAAAATGTTCATGGCTTGCTTCGTTATCTTCTAGAAATTTCTTCCAGCGTGGTGTTAAAGGTTAATGTCTGGTTGTCAAGCTTTAAAATGTATCACTATGCATCCTATGGCTCCTTTTTCATTTGCAAACGAAAATTATAACCTTTTAGAACAGACGATTGCAATAAAGCTACTAGAAAATGTTTGGTAAATTTTTATCCGTAGCAAACAATCGCGATAAAATTTTAGAAGAATCTGCAGACAATTGGAGTTGCGTTCGTGATAATAAATATAATTAGTGAATACAAACTATAGCGGTAAAATTTTCAAATAATCAGACAACTGGAGCTAAGAATTGAAAATCAAAGATGTAATGGTGAATACTTCAAGTAAAAATGTCTGTCAGTTGCGGGCGAAAGCTATTAGGACAATCAAACAATTGGAGCTACAAATTTTTGAAAAGCAACAAAGTTTGTGAATATTTTGGCTAAAAATATTTGTCAGTCCAAATAGTAGCTTTAACATTTTAAAATATTCAGACAATTGAAGCTACATTTCTAAAACACATTATATTTGATATTTTAAATGAAAGCCGAAACAATCTGAAAAATCAAACAACGAGACCTACATTTTTGAAAAGTGATAATGAAAAAAAGTTGCTTGATGCCAGACAAAATTCAATACAGCCTCGCTGAAAGTTAAACAAGAGGATATATTTGGTTTCTGATTGACCGTTTTGCACTTATTTCTATTCCGAAGAAACAAAATGGCAACCGAACGTTATCCGTACATAAATG